GAAAGAGTGAATGAAAGATGAGAACAGGGTTCCATTCATTATGAATGTGTCGTTTTGTTGATTGGCCACTGAACGCACGGCTCTGTTGCTCTCCAGTGCTGCTGTAATCCCCTGCTCTCATTAATCATTGTCCTGAATAAGGGGTGGGGGAAATGAGAGAAACGACTCGGTGAAGTGGGTGAGAGGGAACACTTTTTGCATTCCTCCTCTTTCTTAAAGCGTGTATGTTTATGCAAGCTCCCCTCATTCCATTCCACCAGCCTCGCCATTCCAGATCCCTCCACATTAGGTTCATGCTCACTCCTAATTAGCAGGACCTCATGCATGTCTATGAACTCTTTACCTTCCTGATTAGTTTGTCGCGGCCATGCAGGCATCTGCACCTCTTGAGCAGCACAAGGCTAATTGAGCTAATTACTCAAGTTAATGAGAGTATTTTTTAAGGTTGGAGGGCATAAGCAAATGAGATGAAGAGAGTGAAATGAGAAAGAGATATAATTAGCATCACAGATGAGTTTACTTATTGTGTCCTTGACTTTCAGCGATATGAAGATGTATTTAATAAGTTAAAATGCTACCCAGCTAACAGGGAATGTTCTTAGAAAGTTCTTGAAAGGTTCTCTCAAAGTCATGAACATACGTCCTTCCAATAATATCATTAGAACATTTGTTCAAAGTTATCTAATCTTTAATAATGTTCTCAAAAGTTAGCGCAAAAAATTTGTTTATACATCATGAAAGTTATTTTCTGAAGTGTTTTAGTTGGACGTTCATCTAACATTTTAAAATGTTACTACTACTCGTTTCAGAACTGTAGAGAACATTAAAAAAGAACTCTCCCATATTATTTGCAAAATGATCAAATGGAAAGTTCCCTTAGCGTTTTATATAACATTCGCATAACTAAGGAAAACACTAAAACATTTAAAAAACTGGATGTTTTGAATGTTCAGAGAACAATAAAAAAAAATAACATATTCAAAATATAATGACAACGTTAGAGGAACATTCTTAGAACAATTTTGTTAGCTTAGTATTAACTTAGACATTTTTGGTTTTAATGTCGAATATTTGCAGATGTATAATGAAGAACATTTACAGTATTAATAATATCAAGCTAATTGCATTACATGTTCATGTTGCCTTATGGGCTAAATATTTGTTCTCTGGGAGGCTCTTTTGCTAACCCCTTAAATTAGCGTTCATTGTATTTCATAGTTTTGTTCCGAAAAGTATTTCCTCCGAGTCCCTTGATTACAAATTTACACCACTCTCAATGCTTATTTTCTTTG